AGTGAACTCGTTACTTGTATCAAAGATGTCAAACTAATATGATAAGATTGATAACTAAGTTGAGCATGAAGCTCCTATCTAATGGCAGACATGCCAGTGTTATATAGAACCTTCTTGCTCATGGATCTGGTTGGATCCTAGGATCCCCAAGATCCATCCAGATCCAAAGATCCGTCACGTGACTATAATGAAATCCTTGGATCGCTTAGCTAGTCTAGCCGATCCCTATTCGCTATAAGAGCATGATAGTGCTTAACCTGTCAGGACGCCGCCTGGTCTTCACTCGTCACATGCTTACACGTGATTCGTGACAGAAACCTGGATGTGCCTGTCGAGGGTTGCGCCTCTTATTATGACAAGCATCACGTGAACACGTGATTCGTGACAAGAAGCTTTAAGAATAGTAAATATAAATATTATTAGAAGGCTAAGGATCTTGTTTTAAATACCTACTACTTATACTTAGTAGTATAGCTAGAAGTAGAATTTCTATATGTAGATAATATAATAAGATTTAATGAACGTAAATATTTATTACTTAAAAACTTGATCTTATAAAGTAAGAAAATACTATAGAATTCCTTAAAATAACTATATATATATTATTATTCAACTAAAAAGTAAGAGAGCTATAAAATCCTAAACCCTAGCCTTAAGTATAACTACTAGAGTATCACGAATCACGTGCTCACGTGATACTTGTCATAATAAGAGGCGCAACCCTCGACAGGCACACCCAGGTTTCTTATAGCAGAAAGGGATCCTTAGACCAGCTAAGCGATCCAGGGATTTTCATTGATTGGAAAGGTCACGTGACCTGGATCTTTTGGATCGTAATAATCCACGATCCAGGAGCGTAGATCTGCATGATCCAGTACGATCCACGAACATGAAAGGATCTATATAAGACTGGCACGTCTGTCATTAGATAGGAGCTTCGTGCTCAACTTAGTTATCAATCTTATCATATTAGTTTGACATCTTTGATACAAGTAACGAGTTC